ATTCACATTTATTTCAGGAAGTAGATCAAAAATATCACAATCAATATCACTTTGACAGTCATCGAAAAAGAAATTAAATAGAAGACTTGCAACAGCATTTTTTAAAGAAAAGGGACACAAGCCCTTTTCGGTCACTTTGGCCGAAATGTTATTTTCCCTGGAGCTGCCGCACATCAGAGGAAAAAGGGGAGCAATAGATAGGGGCTAGAATTAGATTAGCAGGACGGCAGCACTAGCTGAAAAACTTTTGTTGACTTTCTCCCTTAGGATTTACTTTGGCTTCTCTTACGCATGGCAGAGGAGCACTAGCTTAGCTTTTTGGGTTGTTGACTTTCCTTGGTTTCTTGGTAGTGGAGTTCTCCTGCGGATGGCAGGGGCAAATAGGAAGACATTGGAATTTGGAATAAAAATTTCAGATTTTATCTTGCTTGCATCATACACACAATTTCCAATCACCTTTTATTTCATATACTCCCTCCGTCCCACTTTGATAGTCCCGTTTTCCTTTTTCGTCTGTCCCAAATTGTAGTCCACTTTCTAATTGAAGAATGCAGTTGTATTTTAATTTTCCTAAAATACCCTTATTCAATGTAAGTTGTTGTTACTATAAACCTACCCCATTTAATGAGAGTTGATTCTTTTTTTACTATAAACCTACCCCATTCAAGTTTCCATAAAGTTGTACCATATTTAATGTGAGGGTATTTTAGGAAAATAGCAATCTAAATTTACTTTTCCAATAAAGTTAACTACTTTTTCTTAAACTGTGTGAAAAAAGAAACAGGACTATGAAAGTGGGACGGAGGGAGTACATCACATCACAAAAAGTGCTACAGTAACATGATCAAATAAATCATCCAAATAAATTCTTATCCAAACAAACTCATTGAATCCTACTCTGCAACTTTGTTTTGCTTTATTTCTTTGACCGAATTGAATTCGTGCATTTCTCAATTGATGGCCGCGTCTCTCTCTTCAATTTTATATGGGCTTTGTTCATCGAACATGAACTAATTTCACCACTTTAGTCAAGGAGCAACGAAGGCTCTGGTTCGCCTAAAAATTATGGGATCGATTTAATTTAATCTTTTCCTTTTATTTATTGGCATTCGCATATTCCTTGACTATTATATTTATGGTTATTTAATTAATTGATTGTCTTGGATCCGGATAATTAGTTGATTTGGTAACCTATTGTCAATTAGGGCATTAAATCCATAATTATTTAATTGTCCTGAAATAGTGACAACTGGCACGATTAGATTCGTGTCAGGGGGATACGCGGGTTAATCTGAAATAACCCTGGTAGTGCGTTATTTGGTTAGAATAGGCCTCCTCTAATACGTAAGGTAATTGGGGAATTAAATCTTACGGGCGTACCTAAGATTATTTCCTAATTAAAGCAGTGATTAACGGACGTACCTTAATCACCAACACAGTAAAGAGGGGTTGACTGTCATCGCATATTTGGTAGTTATAACCTATTTATTGATAAATAATTGGAATTGCCTCTGCATCGATGATCAATCAGGTGAACCATTGCTAAAGTTATTTCTTGATTAGATCTTTAATTAATGAGTCCGTTTGGATTCTTGTTTTTGGGCTTATTTTTGAAAAACTGTTTTTCACAATCCAAATGCTACAGTAAATGTGTATTTCAAAAACAACTCCAAAAACATCATATCCAAACAATATATCAAAAACAACTCCAAATACATATTTAATATGTTTATTTCAATTTATATATTTCAATTATGTATAGGATATATATTATATTAATTTAAATATATTTATTTATACATATTATAAATATTTTATTTTACATAAAATATAATTTTATATATTTATATAAATATTATATATTATATAAATTATAAATGTGTTATTATACATTTATATAAATGTTATATATTATATATATTTAATATATACATAATATATATTATATATATTGAACATTTATAAAAATGTACATTTAAACATAATATATATATTTATGTATATTTATAATATACACTTATATTATATTATATATAATATAATACATTTATACATTTATATTAATATACATAATACATAATATATAAAGTTATTTATTTATATAATATATAATAAATAAATATAATACACTTATTTATTTATATATAATATATAAAGTTATTTATAAATATAATACACTTATTTATTTATACATAATATATAAATATATTTATTTATAAATATTTATAATTGTATTATAAATGCATAAATGTATATAAATATAAAAACATAAAAATTATAAATTATAATATACGTTTATATAATATTCATTTATAATTTATACACATTTATAATAATATACATTTATACATTTATAAATATATTTATGTTATGTATTATATATAATATAATACACTTATAATACATTTATATATTTATTTATAAATATAATATATAATAAATAAATATAATACACTTATTTATTTATATATAATATATAAATTTATTTATATATATAATACACTTACTTATTTATAATAATATATAAATATATTTATTCATAAATATCTAAATATATTTATTTATAAATATTTATAATTGTATTATACATGCATAAACGTATATAAATATAAAAACATAAAAATTATAAATTATAAATTATAATATACATTTATAATTTATATATTTATAGTAATATACATTTAAACATTTATATATAAATATATGAATATATTTATTCATAAATATTTAAATATATTTATTTATAAATATTTATAAATGTATTATAAATGCATAAATGTATATAAATATAAAAATATAAAAATTATAAATTATACATTTATATAATATTCATTTATAATTTATACATTTATAAATATATTTATATTATGTATTATATATAATATAATACATTTATATATTTTTATATAAATATATTTATTTATAAATATTTATAAATGTATAATTGTATATTGTTATAAAAATTTAAAAATTATACATTATAAAAATACTCGAAAATATGTTTTAAAAATACATCTAAAAATAATCCATAAAACATCTACAGTAAAAGTTTTTTATATAATTTTTGAAAAACAACCCAAAAAACAACTAATCCAAACGGACTTGTATTTGAAAAACGAAATGCTACAGTGCTGTTTTCGAAAAACAACCCCAAAAACAACTAATCCAAACGGACCCAATTAACTTGATTTTAGTGAATTGCCATTTGACTTTTAGATGCCTACTTTATCCTATTTTTAATTGTTTTCTTTTTTTAATTGATTTAGCCCTTTAATTATTGTTACTCTAAGTTCAGTGAATTGTTGTTTAATTTCTAATTAGTTATTTATTTTTATTTTCTTATTTGAATTTATTTGATTGTCGTCGTTCCTACAAAATCACCCCCTGTGTTACTTTGGATTTCTTAAGAGACAAATATACACAATTCCTGAGAATACGACGCTACTTGCCCTGTTTACAAATTCATAATTATTTGTGAAAAAAAAAATCATCCCATTCGGGTATATCGGATCAAGCAAACTCTTCGGGAACAGGGTGAATCAAGTAACCCATTGCACATCTAGAGTCCCTGCTCCAGTATTTGGAATTGGGTTTTGGTCATTTTAACTGACAATTAGGTTTAATTTTATTATTGTACAGGCATCGACAACCTGTCAATTTTTGGCGCCATTGCCGGGGACTGGTGTCAGTTATTTGCCTCTTTTTAAATTCATTTTTATTCTAATTTTCTGGTGCTTTTCAAGTGTATGCCTCGTTCTTCTCGTACAGGTGAATTAATTTTTGACCTCAAGGTAGAGAAGACTGCGTGTAGAACAAGAAAAGAGACCAAACAGCTTAGAGAGGAGCACTCGAGTGCTGCATCTCTGAGACTTGAACCCGAAGTTGAACCAATAGATTCGTTTGGTGACATTTCGAGTGATTCGGAGCAAAAAGAAATCCCTATGGCTAATGCACGGACATTAAGGGAGTTGGCTGCTCCTGATTTAACTCAGCAGCCTTTATGCATCACTTTCCATAGTTTGACTGATAACACTACATTTGAATTAAAATCTGATATAATTCATCTTTTACCTTCTTTTCATAGTTTACCAGGTGAGGAGCCGTATAAGCATCTGCAGGAGTTTGATGTCGTGTGCAATAGTATGAAACCCTCGAAAATCATAGAAGAGCAGATAAAAATGAGAGCATTCCCCTTCTCCTTGAAGGATTCAACAAAAGATTGGTTGTACTACCTACCACCAGGTAGTATCACCACGTGGGACCAGTTGAAGAAAAAATTTTTAGATAAATATTTCCCTGCGTCCAGAGCTGCGAGTTTAAGAAAAGAAATTTGCGGTATCAAGCAGCATCCAGGGGAGTCGCTTTATGAGTACTGGGAGCGATTCAAGAAATTGTGCATTAAGTGTCCCCAACACCAAATAAGTGAGCAGTTACTTATACAATAATTTTACGAGGGGCTACTCTTCAGAGACAGGAGTATCATTGATGCTGCGAGTGGAGGGGCACTGGTGAACAAGACCCCTCGAGCAGCGTGGGAGCTAATTGAAGGAATGACAGAGAATTCGCAGCAATTTGATACAAGAGAAGATGTCCCGATACGCAAGGTGAATGAGGTAGAAACATCCTCTATCCAGCAGCAGTTGACGGAGTTAACCTCGTTTGTTAAGCAACTGGCTGTAGGGAACGCATCTCAGGCCAAGGTGTGTGGGATTTGCACTGGTATAGGTCATTTAACAGACATGTGCCCAATGATCTAAGAAGAAAGTATGGAGCAAGTGAACATGGCTGGTCACGTGCCCGCGCCAAGAAATCAATATGACCCATATTTGAACACCTACAATCCTGGTTGGAGGGACCATCCCAACTTCAGTTATGAAGGAAATAGGCAGTCCAATTTTATGCCAAGTAGACAACAAGAGTACCAGCAGCAGTATCAATTTTGACTACCACCACCTCCACCGAGCGCCAGTCCATCTTTGGAAGATATGATGAAATAATTGATGGCTAGTACTGCACAACACCAGCAAAAGACGGACTCCGAACTATGGAACATAAGAAGCCAGATGGGTCAGATACAAGCAATACAGAATCAGATAAGTCAGATAGCAATATCAATCAACCGTCTTGAGTCTCAAGTGAATGGAAGATTGCCATCCCAACATGAACTGAACCTGAAGAATGTAAGTGCAATGACTTTAAGGAGTGGGAAGGAAATTCAGGGGCCCGAACTCATGACTCCAAAGAATAAGGACGAAGAAAAAATTGAGAAAGAACTTCAGGCAGAGAATACAAGCACCAAAAATTCAGTAGTACTCCCTGACCCGATCATAGACGTTAAAACTAATCCCCCTCCATTTCTTTGCAGGTTGGAGAAATCGAAGAAGCAAGACAAGGAGAAAGAGATCCTGGAGGTGTTCCGCAAGGTAGAGATCAATATTCCCTTATTAGATGCCATCAAACAAGTGCCAAAGTATGCAAGGCTTTTGAGGGACTTATGTGTCAACCGAAAGCAGCTGAGGGGAGACGAAAGGATCATTGTTGGGGAGAATGTGTAAGTAGTTCTCCAAAGGAAGCTTCCACCAAAGTGTGAGGATCCAGGTAGGTTTACTGTCCCATGTACGATAGGTAACACTTTAATTAGGAATACCCTGCTGGATTTAGGAACATCGATCAACGTAATGCCTAAATCTATGTATGCTTTTCTGAACCTTGGTCCATTAAAAGAAACCGAGATAATAATTCAATTAGCTGACCGAACAAATGCATACCATGATGGGTTGGTAGAGGGTGTGCTGATTAAAGTTAATGAATTGATATTCCCGGCTGACTTTTATGTACTTGACATGGATGATGATCATTCTCCTGACCCCTCACCTTTGCTACTAGGTAGACCCTTTTTTAGTACAACACAGACAAAAATTGACGTTAATAAGGGTACATTGTCCATAGAATTTGATGGAGAACTAGTCCACTTTAATATTTTTGATACAATGAAACATTCTGTTAACTCTCACCCTGTGTTTGTTATTCATGCTATTAATCCCTCTGTGCAAGAATTTTCTGAGTTTGCTTGTAGGGACAAATTCAAATTTACTGAGAACAAGTATAAGGGGATGAATACACTGTATGAGGTGAAAAGGAGTAGGAAATTAAGAAAGAAAGCTGCACTCAAAGGCTATTTGGATCCTGGATGAGGGCCACCGATTTCCGGAAAAATTGAGTTACACCCATATTGAAGAGTGGTGTTCAATGTCTAGCCAAAGACATTAAAGAAATGCGCTCATTGGGAGGCAACCCAATTGTTTCTTTTAATTGTTTGTTTGATTTCGTGTGATAGTTTAAATATGTTTTCCTTGAATTTGAATGATTTCGAGTTTCAATTTTCGTTTTGATGATTTGTAGGTGTCCTTCTGTCATGATGCGCCCGCGTCATAACGTATGGAGAGCTCATGATCAGAATCGTCAGAAGGGGTTCCTGCCCTCATGACGTGCCCGCGTCATGACATATGGAGAGCTCATGGTCAGAATCGTCAGAAGAGGTTCTTGTCCTCATGATGTGCCCGCGTCAAGTCCCATGAAGATCTCATTGTTAGGGAGCTCTCTTGCTCTCATGACGCGGCCACGTCAAGCGATCTGAAGAGCTTCTCATCCCGTGCCTTCTTGACGTGCCCGCGTCAAGTTCGCGGAAAAGGTAAAAATTCAAAAGAACTCAAAAAAAAAGGGTATTGATTTTCTATTATTTTCTAATTTTTAATTTCGAAAATAAGTTATGTAATAATAATATTTTCCAAAAAAAAATAAATTAAAAAATAAGAAAAACAAAAAAAAGCCTTTCTGTAAAGAAAAAAAAAAGAGAAAAAAAGAAAAGGAAAAAAAAGAGAGGTCAACAATTTTTGAAAAAAAAAATCTGTTTTCTTTTTCTTCTTTTCTTTTTCTTTCTTTTTCTCCTTCCTTTCTTTTCTTTTTTTTCTTTCTTTCTTCTTCTTTCTTTCTCTTTTCTTTCTTTCGTCTACTCTGTTTTCCTCTGTGTCACCCGAAGCCACACCACCGCCGCCAACCAGCTCCTCCTCATCGCGAGCCATCGCAACCAGCAGCCCGCCGCCAGTGCCCTGAGCTCCCTCATCTCCTCCCACTCCAGCGGCCGCCACCACCAACTCACCTCCAGCTGTTGTGCCGCCGCCGCTGGTCCTCTACACGCCAGCCAGCTCCTCTCTGACCACGCGCGTGCCACCAGCCGTAGCAGCACGACCCCACAGCCCTCCACCGTCACCCTCCACTTTGACTCAATTCCAGGGGAGTTTTGTTGCCCTCTCCTCTACTTTTTTATGTTTACTTGCTACATTGAGGGCAATGTATCGTTTAGGTGTGGGGGGGTTGGATCAGTTGTGGTTCTCATTTTTCGTAGCTTCTAGTTTTTAGGTGTTTTTCCTTTATTTTTAGTTTGTTTTTGTTTATTTCCATTCAATCATTTTCTTTCTTTCTAGTGATGAGCTCTCGTGTGACTGTCAAAATTTGCTGGATTATTGCCTTTAATGCTACTATTGCCAAGTTTTAATAATAATAGTGTATCAAGTAGATGTGGCTGAATTTCAATACATCTCCTTGGTGAATATCAGTGATTGCTTGACTCTTTTGATTTCTTTGTTAACTTTTCCAGACATAGGAAATTACTGTTGGCATTTTTATGTGAATTAGTCCAGTATTGACTTTAGTTCTCCATATTTGGCGAAATTGAGGCTAGCTGCTCCTAATTTTTTGTTCCTAGCGATGTTAATTTGCGTTATGGTGTTATTTGGTTGTGAATAAGTTTAACTGAACTCCGCTATTAGTTACTACTGAGTAATCGGGGATCTTCACCTAAAAGTGTCGATGCACGCGTCAAAAGGTAGTAATTTTTATGAGTACGTGGTCGTATAACAATAGGAGTTGAGTAACCGGGCTCCTTCATCTGAAAAATGTCGAAATTCACGTCAAAAGGCTCCAATGGCTAGCGACTAAATCTGTTGTTACCATTGAAAAAAAATTCAAAAAAAAAAAGAAAGAGAAAAATGTGATAAAAAAAAAGAAACGAAGAAGTGGAGGTTGTGTTAGTTGAGGTAAAAGTCGGCTTGCCAACTTATGGATTCGATATGGAGATTTATGGTTAATATTTGGACCATTTGCTGATAAATGCTGCGCGTCATTCCGTTTTCTTAGATCAGTTAACTTTGAATTGAAAGAGTTTGCGATTTAAAAGTTAACCGGAGTGATGTTCCTTGGACTTGGCCATTGATGCTTGATTATTATTTTTCTTGATATCTTAGCAACTTAGTAGATAGAGCAATAGCCATCATCAAATTTTGGTGTTTGTGTACTTTTCTTATGCTTGAGGGCAAGCATGGTTTAGCTGTGGGGGAAATTGATAGGTTGCAATTTTATCATTTATTTTATTACTAATTTCTCCTATTATCTGACTTGATATGGATTAATTGCTGGATTCTACTCACTTTTCATAATTCGCATTTATTTCAGGGAGTAGATCAAAAATACCACAATCAATGCCACTTTGACAATCATCGGAAAAGAAATAAAATAAAAGACTTGCAATGGCATTTTTGGAAGAAAAGGGACACAAGCCCTTTTCGGTCACTTTGGCCGAAATGTTATTTTCCCTGGAGCCGCCGCACATCAGAGGAAAAAGGGGAGCAATAGATAGGGGCTAGAATTAGATTAGCAGGACGGCAGCACTAGCTGAAAAACTTTTGTTGACTTTCTCCCTTAGGATTTCCTTTGGCTTCTCTTACGCATGGCAGAGGAGCACTAGCTTAGCTTTTTGGGTTGTTGACTTTCCTTGGTTTCTTGGTAGTGGAGTTCTCCTGCGGATGGCAGGAGCAAATAGGAAGACATTGAATCCTACTCTGCAACTTTGCTTTGCTTTATTCCTTTGACCGAATTGAATTCGTGTATTTCTTAATTGATGGCCGCGTCTCTCTCTTCAATTTTATATGGGCTTTATTCATTGAACATGAACTAATTTCACCACTCTAGTCAAGGAGCAACGAAGGTTCTGATTCACCTAAAAATTGTGAGATCGATTTAATTTGGGCGTTTGGTTCGCAACTTGGAATCGGATTCGGATTTGGAATCGGATATCCTGGGTTTGGAATGAAATCATTCATTCCAATACATCTGTTTGGTTCAAGTATCTGAAATGGGTATCATTACTATACTTGATGTTTGGTTCGTTGGTTCTTTCGGAATGGAATCTAATAAATTTCCAATTTTAACCCTACCTGTAAAATTGACAATAAACTTTGTCTTAAAGTTTCAAAAGAAAAATTACATAAATCTTATTAATAATCTTGTCATATGCTGGGGAGAGTTATGCAGGTTTTTGTACTTTTAATCCTACTGTGGTGTTCATTTTGTCAAAAGTTCGCATATGCTCATATCCTCCTTGACATGTTATAACAGGCAAATACGTAGTTGGCCGAACTTATCCATGACGAGAATAAAAATTCTTCACTTTTCATTGATCTTGGTGGCATACTGGTAGAGGCTGTCTCAATCATGGACGGAACTTAGGCCTCTTGTTACAGCAAATCTAATGCACTGAGTGACAATCCTATGTATTTCTTGCAAGAGCTAAAGGAGTCAAAAAAAAAAGTCCACTTTCAGTGAGAGGGTAACTGTGAGCATTATAATGTAACATAACAATAATTATTTAGAAATAATCAAATGACATAAATAATATATTGTCATTTCATTTTATCAAAAGTAGAAGATATTACATAGAATTCAAACAAAAAATCAACATGTTTATGGCATAACCCAAAAAATCATGAACAGAGTCACTTCCAAGATAGACAAAAAGTTCCCATCGAGTTTATCACCATGTTTACTAGTCATACTTTTCCAAACATTCATAATAAGGAGCCACACTTCATAAATTAGACGAAGGATAGAGGAGATTAATGACATATTGCCTTCTCATGTCAGCAGGAAGATTAAAGAACATATTTAGCTTTGCTATATCTGCTCCTATAATGTTGCCTGCTTTATAAACGTCTCCACTCGGTAATCCAAGATTGACCAACTCAGTAGGCAAATTATTGCTTCTATCTACAGCCAACTGTTCACGTTTATCTTCATTTGCCATGACAGCTGCCATAGTGGTGAAGTTAGTGGCAATACCTTCCATGAAGGATCCAAATTGTCCTGTTAATTGTCGAAATTGAACATCAATGGTTGGCTGTGTTGAAGTTGATTTCATCTTCTTTGATGGATTTCCTATTGTAGGTGATGCTTTTCTTTGCTTCTTTGATGAGTTTCTTGTACTTGTTGAAGCTGTTTGTGTTACTGAATTTGCTTCATCATCATCATCACCGTTATTATCATTCGTTAAGTCTATTTGAGCAGCAACCTCTTCCACTTCTTTTTCCATATTGTGGACAGCATCTGCAAAACCTTCAGCAACATCTCCAGTAGCTCTATCTCGCCCATATACTATGTCAAGATCATCCAAGTATGAAAACTTAACATCCCAAAGGCCTTTTGCTTCTCTATGCATCTAAAAAATAGTAATCAAATAAATAAGCAGAAGTTTAAATCTTCATACCATTGAAAATATAAATAATAGACTATTACTAAAAATTTATGGTTAGAAGTTTTTTTACCTTACACCAATCTTCATACCATTGCCTTTCACATTGAATTTTTTTTTCAACATCATTCCATTGACAGCCACTTTCTTTACACATGTCAGTGATTGCATGATATCTAGATTTCAACCATTTTACCTTTGACTCCAAGTGTGGAGAAACTTGTTTTTCAAAAGTAGGCAGCTTGCGTTGTATTATCTTGTGTAACTCATTCATGTAGTTGTTTCTGAATCCACCATCCGTCTTCCATAAGGGATCACAAGCTAACTCTTGTAATGCTTCAATCAATACCTTTACTTCATTATCATTCCAGAAGCACTTGTTTCTTCCTCGTCCCCGAATACTTTCATCTTTCTCCATCCTATCATAAAATATCACTCTAAATAATTATAAGAATAAACCGTAATGTCAACAAATAAACTCTAGTTTAAAGTAAATATCAATTCGATATATTTACATATTTATTACAACAAACTTTCAAGAAAGAAATTGTCAAATTATGAAGCAAAAGTTCATTCAAACTACAGGTAAATAAAAAATTTGAAATTGTAACA